TGTCCACGTCCACGTCCACGTCCACGTCCACGTCCATGTCCACGTCCATGTCCATGTCCACGTCCATGTCCACGTCCATGTCCACGTCCATGTCCACGTTAACGTCCACGTCCACGTCTATGTCCACGACCATGTCCACGTCCATGTCCACGTCCACGACCATGTCCACGTCCATGTCCACGTCCACGACCATGTCCACGTCCACGACCACGACCACATCTATGTCCACGTCCACGTCCACGTCCATGTCCACGTCCATGTCCACGTACATGTCCACGTCCATGTCCACGTCCATATCCACGTCCACGTCCACGTCCATGTCAACGTCCATGTCCACGTCCATGTCCACGTCCATGTCCACGTCCATGTCCACGTCCATGTCCACGTCCATGTCCACGTCCACGTCCATGTCCACGTCCATGTCCATGTCCACGTCCATGTCCACGTCCATGTCCACGTCCATGTCCACGTTCACGTCCACGTCCATGTCCATGTCCACGACCATGTCCACGTCCATGTCCACGTCCACGACCATGTCGACGTCCATGTGCACGTCCACGACCATGTCCACGTCCACGACCACGACCACCTCTATATCCACGTCCACGTCCATGTCCACGTCCATGTCCACGTCCATGTCCATGTCCACGTCCATGTCCACGTCCATGTCCACGTCCATGTCCATGTCCACGTCCACGTCCACGTCCATGTCCACGTCCACGTCCACGTCCATGTCCACGTCCATGTCCACGTCCATGTCCACGTCCACGTCCATGTCCACGTCCACGTCCATGTCCATGTCCACGTCCATGTCCACGTCCATGTCCACGTCCATGTCCACGTCCATGTCCACGTCCATGTCCACGTCCATGTCCACGTCCATGTCCTTGCCATGTCCACGTCCATGTCCACGTCCATGTCCACGTCCATGTCCACGTCCATGTCCATGTCCACGTCCACGTCCATGTCCCATGTCCACGTCCATGTCCATGTCCACGTCCACATGTCCACGTCCATGTCCACGTCCATGTCCACGTCCATGTCCACGTCCACGTCCACGTCCACGTCCATGTCAACGTCCATGTCCACGTCCATGTCCACGTCCATGTCCACGTCCATGTCCACGTCCATGTCCACGTCCATGTCCACGTCCACGTCCACGTCCATGTCCACGTCCATGTCCACGTCCATGTCCACGTCCATGTCCACGTCCATGTCCACGTCCATGTCTACGTCCATGTCCACGTCCATGTCCACGTCCATGTCCACGTCCACGTCCATGTCCACGTCCATGTCCACGTCCACGTCCATGTCCACGTCCACGTCCACGTCCACGTCCACGTCCATATCCATGTCCATGTCCACGTCCATGTCCACGTCCATGTCCACGTCCATGTCCATGTCCACGTCCACGTCCACGTCCATGTCCACGTCCACGTCCATGTCCAAGTCCATGTCCACGTCCATGTCCACGTTCACGTCCACGTCCACGTCTATGTCCACGACCATGTCCACGTCCATGTCCACGTCCACGTCCATGTCCACGTCCATGTCCACGTCCACGACCACGACCACATCTATGTCCACGTCCACGTCCACGTCCACGTCCATGTCCACGTCCATGTCCATGTCCATGTCCACGTCCATGTCCACGTCCATGTCCACGTCCACGTCCACGTCCACGTCCATGTCAACGTCCATGTCCACGTCCATGTCCACGTCCATGTCCACGTCCATGTCCATGTCCACGTCCATGTCCATGTCCACGTCCACGTCCATGTCCACGTCCACGTCCACGTCCATGTCCACGTCCATGTCCACGTCCATGTCCACGTCCATGTCCACGTCCATGTCCACGTCCATGTCCACGTCCATGTCCATGTCCATCTCCATGTCCATGTCCATGTCCACGTCCATGTCCACGTCCATCTCCATGTCCACGTCCACGTCCACGTCCACGTCCATGTCCACGTCCATGTCTACGTCCATGTCCACGTCCATGTCCACGTCCATGTCCACGTCCACGTCCATGTCCACGTCCATCTCCATGTCCACGTCCACGTCCACGTCCACGTCCATGTCCACGTCCATGTCTACGTCCATGTCCACGTCCATGTCCACGTCCATGTCCACGTCCACGTCCATGTCCACGTCCATGTCCACGTCCATGTCCACGTTCACGTCCATGTCCACGTCCATGTCCACGTCCATGTCCATGTCCATGTCCACGTCCACGACCATGTCCACGTCCATGTCCACGTCCACGACCATGTCCACATCCACGACCACGACCACCTCTATGTCCACGTCCACGTCCACGTCCATGTCCACGTCCATGTCCATGTCCACGTCCATGTCCACGTCCATGTCCACGTCCACGTCCATGTCCACGTCCACGTCCATGTTCATGTCCACGTCCACGTCCATGTCCACGTCCATGTCCACGTCCACGTCCATGTCCATGTCCACGTCCACGTCCATGTCCACATCCACGTCCACGTCCACGTCCACTCCATGTCCACGTCCATGTCCACGTCCATGTCAACGTCCATGTCCACGTCCATGTCCACGTCCATGTCCACGTCCATGTCCACGTCCACGTCCACGTCCATGTCCACGTCCATGTCCACGTTCACGTCCAAGTCCATGTCCACGACCATGTCCACGTCCATGTCCACGTCCACGACCATGTCCACGTCCACGACCACGACCACCTCTATATCCACGTCCATGTCCACGTCCATGTCCACGTCCATGTCCATGTCCACGTCCATGCCCACGTCGATGTCCACGTCCATGTCCATGTCCACGTCCACGTCCATGTCCACGTCCACGTCCACGTCCATGTCCACGTCCACGTCCATGTCCACGTCCACGTCCACGTCCACGTCCACGTCCATGTCCACGTCCATGTCCACGTCCATGTCCACGTCCATGTCCACGTCCATGTCCATGTCCATGTCCATGTCCACGTCCATGTCCACGTCCATATCCATGTCCACGTCCACGTCCATGTCCACGTCCATGTCCACGTCCATGTCCACGTCCATGTCCACGTCCATGTCCACGTTCACGTCCACGTCCACGTCCATGTCCACGACCACGACCACGTCCATGTCCACGTCCACGACCACGACCATGTCCATGTCCACGTCCACGACCATGTCCACGTCCACGACCACGACCACATCTATGTCCACGTCTACGTCCACGTCCATGTCCACGTCCATGTCCACGTCCATGTCCACGTCTATGTCCACGTCCATGTCCACGTCCACGTCCACGTCCACGTCCATGTCAACGTCAATGTCCACGTCCATGTCCACGTCCATGTCCAGGTCCATGTCCACGTCCATGTCCACGTCCATGTCCACGTCCACGTCCACGTCCATGTCCACGTCCACGTCCACGTCCAGGTCCACGTCCACGTCCACGTCCATGTCCACGTCCATATCCACGTCCATGTCCACGTCCATGTCCACGTCCATGTCCACGTCCATGTCCACGTCCATGTCCATGTCCACGTCCACGTCCATGTCCATGTCCACGTCCATGTCCATGTCCACGTCCACGTCCATGTCCATGTCCACGTCCACGTCCATGTCCACGTCCATGTCCACGTCCACGTCCACGTCCACGTCCATGTCCACGTCCACGTCCACGTCCATTCCACGTCCACGTCGATGTCCACATCCTCGTCCACGTCGATGTCCACGTCCACGTCAATGTCCACGTCCATGTCCACGTCCATGTCCACGTCCATGTCCACGTCCATGTCCACGTCCATGTCCACGTCCATGTCCACGTCCATGTCCACGTCCATGTCCACGTCCATATCCACGTCCATGTCCACGCCCTGTCCACGTCCACGTCCACGTCCATGTCAACGTCCATGTCCACGTCCATGTCCACGTCTATGTCCCCATCCATGTCCACGTCCATGTCCACGTCCATGTCTACGTCCATGTCCACGTCCATGTCCACGTCCACGTCCACGTCCACGTCCATGTCCACGTCCGTGTCCACGTCCACGTCCATGTCCACGTCCATGTCCACGTCCATGTCCACGTTCACGTCCACGTCCACGTCCATGTCCACGACCATGTCCACATCCATGTCCACGTCCACGACCATGTCCACATCCACGACCACGACCACCTCTATGTCCACGTCCACGTCCACGTCCATGTCCATGTCCACGTCCATGTCCATGTCCACGTCCATGTCCACGTCCATGTCCACGTCCATGTCCACATCCATATCCATGTCTACGTCCATGTCCACGTCCATGTCCACGTCCATGTCCACGTCCACGTCCATGTCCACGTCCACGTCCACGTCCATGTCCACGTCCACGTCCACGTCCATGTCCACGTCCATGTCCACGTCCACGTCCATGTCCACGTCCACGTCCACGTCCACGTCCATATCCATGTCCATGTCCACGTCCATGTCCACGTCTATGTCCACGTCCATGTCCATGTCCACGTCCACGTCCACGTCCACGTCCATGTCCACGTCCACGTCCACGTCCATGTCCACGTCCATGTCCACGTTCATGTCCACGTTCACGTCCACGCCCACGTCTATGTCCACGACCATGTCCACGTCCATGTCCACATCCACGACCATGTCCACGTCCATGTCCACGTCCACGACCATGTCCACGTCCACGACCACGACCACATCTATGTCCACGTCCACGTCCACGTCCATGTCCACGTCCATGTCCACATCCATGTCCACGTCCATGTCCACGTCCACGTCCACGTCCATGTCCATGTCAACGTCCATGTCAACGTCCATGTCCACGTCCATGTCCACGTCCATGTCCACGTCCATGTCCACGTCCATGTCCACGTCCATGTCCACGTCCACGTCCACGTCCACGTCCACGTCCATGTCCACGTTCATGTCCACGTCCATGTCCACGTCCATGTCCACGTCCATGTCCACGTCCATGTCCACGTCCATGTCCACGTCCATGTCCACGTCCATGTCTACGTCCATGTCCACGTCCATGTCCACGTCCATTTCCATGTCCACGTCCACGTCCATGTCCATATCCACGTCCATGTCCATGTCCACGTCGACGTCCATGTCCACGTCCATGTCCACGTCCATGTCCACGTCCACGTCCATGTCCACGTCCACGTCCACGTCCATGTCCACGTCCACGTCCACGTCCATTCCACGTCCACGTCGATGTCCACGTCCACGTCCACGTCCACGTCCACGTCCATGTCCACGTCCATGTCCACGTCCATGTCCACGTCCATGTCCACGTCCATGTCCACGTCCATGTCCACGTCCATGTCCACGTCCATGTCCACGTCCATGTCCACGTCCATGTTCACGTCCATATCCACGTCCATGTCCACGTCCACGTCCACGTCCACGTACACGTCAACGTCCATGTCCACGTCCATATCCACGTCCATGTCCACGTCCATGTCCACGTCCATGTCCACGTCCATGTCCACGTCCATGTCCACGTCCATGTCCACGTCCACGTCCACGTTCGTGTCCACGTCCATGTCCACGTCCACGTCCATGTCCACGTCCATGTCCACGTCCATGTCCACGTTCACGTCCACGTCCACGTCCATGTCCACGACCATGTCCACATCCTAGTCCACGTCCACGACGATGTCCACGGCCATGTCCACGTCCACGACCATGTCCACATCCACGACCACGACCACCGCTATGTCCACGTCCACGTCCACGTCCATGTCCACATCCATATCCATGTCTACGTCCATGTCCACGTCCATGTCCACGTCCATGTCCACGTCCATATCCATGTCCACGTCCATGTCCACGTCCATGTCCACGTCCATGTCCACGTCCATGTCCATGTCCATGTCCATGTCCACGTCCATGTCCACGTCCATATCCATGTCCACGTCCACGTCCACGTCCATGTCCACGTCCATGTCCACGTCCATGTCCACGTCCATGTCCACGTCCATGTCCACGTTCACGTCCACGTCCACGTCCATGTCCACGACCACGACCACGTCCATGTCCACGTCCACGACCACGACCATGTCCATGTCCACGTCCACGACCATGTCCACGTCCACGACCACGACCACATCTATGTCCACGTCTACGTCCACGTCCATGTCCACGTCCATGTCCACGTCCATGTCCACGTCTATGTCCACGTCCATGTCCACGTCCACGTCCACGTCCACGTCCATGTCAACGTCAATGTCCACGTCCATGTCCACGTCCATGTCCACGTCCATGTCCACGTCCATGTCCACGTCCATGTCCACGTCCACGTCCACGTCCATGTCCACGTCCACGTCCACGTCCATGTCCACGTCCACGTCCACGTCCATGTCCACGTCCATATCCACGTCCATGTCCACGTCCATGTCCACGTCCATGTCCACGTCCATGTCCACGTCCATGTCCATGTCCACGTCCACGTCCATGTCCATGTCCACGTCCATGTCCATGTCCACGTCCACGTCCATGTCCATGTCCACGTCCACGTCCATGTCCACGTCCATGTCCACGTCCACGTCCACGTCCACGTCCATGTCCACGTCCACGTCCACGTCCATTCCACGTCCACGTCGATGTCCACATCCTCGTCCACGTCGATGTCAACGTCCACGTCAATGTCCATGTCCATGTCCACGTCCATGTCCACGTCCATGTCCACGTCTATGTCCACGTCCATGTCCACGTCCATGTCCACGTCCATGTCCACGTCCATGTCCACGTCCATGTCCACGTCCATATCCACGTCCATGTCCACGCCCTGTCCACGTCCACGTCCACGTCCATGTCAACGTCCATGTCCACGTCCATGTCCACGTCTATGTCCCCATCCATGTCCACGTCCATGTCCACGTCCATGTCTACGTCCATGTCCACGTCCATGTCCACGTCCACGTCCACGTCCACGTCCATGTCCACGTCCGTGTCCACGTCTACGTCCATGTCCACGTCCATGTCCACGTCCATGTCCACGTTCACGTCCACGTCCACGTCCATGTCCACGACCATGTCCACATCCATGTCCACGTCCACGACCATGTCCACATCCACGACCACGACCACCTCTATGTCCACGTCCACGTCCACGTCCATGTCCATGTCCACGTCCATGTCCATGTCCACGTCCATGTCCACGTCCATGTCCACGTCCATGTCCACATCCATATCCATGTCTACGTCCATGTCCACGTCCATGTCCACGTCCATGTCCACGTCCACGTCCATGTCCACGTCCACGTCCACGTCCATGTCCACGTCCACGTCCATGTCCACGTCCATGTCCACGTCCACGTCCATGTCCACGTCCACGTCCACGTCCACGCCCATATCCATGTCCATGTCCACGTCCATGTCCACGTCTATGTCCACGTCCATGTCCATGTCCACGTCCACGTCCACGTCCATGTCCACGTCCACGTCCACGTCCACGTCCATGTCCACGTCCATGTCCACGTTCATGTCCACGTTCACGTCCACGCCCACGTCTATGTCCACGACCATGTCCACGTCCATGTCCACATCCACGACCATGTCCACGTCCATGTCCACGTCCACGACCATGTCCACGTCCACGACCACGACCACATCTATGTCCACGTCCACGTCCACGTCCATGTCCAAGTCCATGTCCACATCCATGTCCACGTCCATGTCCACGTCCACGTCCACGTCCATGTCCATGTCAACGTCCATGTCAACGTCCATGTCCACGTCCATGTCCACGTCCATGTCCACGTCCATGTCCACGTCCATGTCCACGTCCATGTCCACGTCCACGTCCACGTCCACGTCCACGTCCATGTCCACGTTCATGTCCACGTCCATGTCCACGTCCATGTCCACGTCCATGTCCACGTCCATGTCCACGTCCATGTCCACGTCCATGTCCACGTCCATGTCTACGTCCATGTCCACGTCCATGTCCACGTCCATTTCCATGTCCACGTCCACGTCCATGTCCATATCCACGTCCATGTCCATGTCCACGTCGACGTCCATGTCCACGTCCATGTCCACGTCCATGTTTACGTCCACGTCCATGTCCACGTCCACGTCCACGTCCATGTCCACGTCCACGTCCACGTCCATTCCACGTCCTCGTCGATGTCCACGTCCACGTCCACGTCCACGTCCACGTCCATGTCCACGTCCATGTCCACGTCCATGTCCACGTCCATGTCCACGTCCATGTCCACGTCCATGTCCACGTCCATGTCCACGTCCATGTCCACGTCCATGTCTACGTCCATGTTCACGTCCATATCCACGTCCATGTCCACGTCCACGTCCACGTCCACGTACACGTCAACGTCCATGTCCACGTCCATGTCCACGTCCATGTCCACGTCCATGTCCACGTCCATGTCCACGTCCATGTCCACGTCCATGTCCACGTCCATGTCCACGTCCACGTCCACGTTCGTGTCCACGTCCATGTCCACGTCCACGTCCATGTCCACGTCCATGTCCACGTCCATGTCCACGTTCACGTCCACGTCCACGTCCATGTCCACGACCATGTCCACATCCTAGTCCACGTCCACGACGATGTCCACGGCCATGTCCACGTCCACGACCATGTCCACATCCACGACCACGACCACCGCTATGTCCACGTCCACGTCCACGTCCATGTCCACATCCATATCCATGTCTACGTCCATGTCCACGTCCATGTCCACGTCCATGTCCACGTCCATATCCATGTCCACGTCCATGTCCACGTCCATGTCCACGTCCATGTCCACGTCCACGTCCATGTCCACGTCCACGTCCACGTCCATGTCCACGTCCACGTCCACGTCCATGTCCACGTCCATGTCCACGTCCACGTCCATGTCCACGTCCACGTCCACGTCCACGTCCATATCCATGTCCATGTCCACGTCCATGTCCACGTCCATGTCCACGTCCATGTCCATGTCCACGTCCACGTCCACGTCCATGTCCACGTCCACGTCCACGTCCATGTCCACGTCCATGTCTACGTCCATGTCCACGTCCACGTCCACGTCCATGTCCACGTCCACGTCCACGTCCACGTCCATGTCCACGTCCATGTCCACGTCCATGTCCACGTCCATGTCCACGTCCATGTCCACGTCCATGTCCACGTCCATGTCCACGTCCATGTCCGCGTCCATGTCCACGTCCATGTCCGCGTCCATGTCCACGTCCATGTCCGCGTCCATGTCCACGTCCACGTCCACGTCCACGTCCACGTCCATGTCCACGTCCACGTCCACGTCCATTCCACGTCCACGTCCATGTCGACGTCCACGTCCACATCCACGTTCACGTCCACGTCCATGTCCACGTCCATGTCCACGTCCATGTCCACGTCCATGTCCACGTCCATGTCCACGTCCATGTCCACGTCCATGTCCACGTCCATGTCCACGTCCATGTCCACGTCCATGTCCACGTCCATGTCCACGTCCATTTCCACGTCCATGTCCACGTCCACTACGTCCATGTCAACGTCCATGTCCACGTCCATGTCCACGTCCATGTCCACGTCCATGTCCACGTCCATGTCTACGTCCATGTCCACGTCCATGTCCACGTCCACGTCCACGTCCATGTCGACGTCCATGTCCACGTCCACGTCCATGTCCACGTCCATGTCCACGTCCACGTGCATGTCCACGTCCATGTCCACGTCCATGTCCACGTTCACGTCCACGTCCACGTCCATGTCCACGACCATGTCCACATCCATGTCCACGTCCACGACGATGTCCACGGCCATGTCCACGTCCACGACCATGTCCACATCCACGACCACGACCACCTCTATGTCCACGTCCACGTCCACGTCCACGTCCATGTCCACGTCCATGTCCATGTCCACGTCCATGTCCACGTCCATGTCCACGTCCATGTCCACGTCCATATCCATGTCCACGTCCATGTCCACGTCCATGTCCACGTCCATGTCCATGTCCACGTCCATGTCCACGTCCACGTCCATGTCCACGTCCACGTCCACGTCCACGTCCATGTCCACGTCCATGTCCACGTCCACGTGTACGTCCACGTCCACGTCCACGTCCACGTCCACGTCCATATCCATGTCCATGTCCACGTCCATGTCCACGTCCATGTCCACGTCCATTTCCATGTCCACGTCCACGTCCACGTCCATGTCCACGTCCACGTCCACGTCCATGTCCACGTCCATGTCTACGTCCATGTCCACATCCACGTCCACGTCCATGTCCACGTCCACGTCCACGTCCATGTCCACGTCCATGTCCACGTCCATGTCCACGTCCATGTCCACGTCCATGTCCACGTCCATGTCCACGTCCATGTCCACGTCCATGTCCACGTCCATGTCCACGTCCATGTCCACGTCCATGTCCACGTCCATGTCCGCGTCCATGTCCACGTCCATGTCCACGTCCACGTCCACGTCCACGTCCACGTCCACGTCCATGTCCACGTCCACGTCCATTCACGTCCACGTCCACGTCGACGTCCACGTCCACGTCCACGTCCACGTCCATGTCCACGTCCATGTCCACGTCCATGTCCACGTCCATGTCCACGTCCATGTCCACGTCCATGTCCACGTCCATGTCCACGTCCATGTCCACGTCCATGTCCACGTCCACGTCCACGTCCATGTCCACGTCCACGTCCACGTCCACGTCCATGTCAACGTCCATGTCCACGTCCATGTCCACGTCCATGTCCACGTCCATGTCCAAGTCCATGTCCACGTCCATGTCTACGTCCATATCCACGTCCATGTCCACGTTCACGTCCAAGTCCATGTCCACGACCATGTCCACGTCCATGTCCACGTCCACGACCATGTCCACGTCCACGACCACGACCACCTCTATATCCACGTCCATGTCCACGTCCATGTCCACGTCCATGTCCATGTCCACGTCCATGCCCACGTCGATGTCCACGTCCATGTCCATGTCCACGTCCACGTCCACGTCCACGTCCATGTCCACGTCCATGTCCACGTCCATGTCCACGTCCACGTCCATGTCCACGTCCACGTCCACGTCCACGTCCATGTCCACGTCCATGTCCACGTCCATGTCCACGTCCATGTCCACGTCCATGTCCATGTCCATGTCCATGTCCACTTCCATGTCCACGTCCATATCCATGTCGACGTCCACGTCCACGTCCACGTCCATGTCCACGTCCATGTCCACGTCCATGTCCACGTCCATGTCCACGTCCATGTCCACGTTCACGTCCACGTCCACGTCCATGTCCACGACCACGACCACGTCCATGTCCACGTCCACGACCACGACCATGTCCATGTCCACGTCCACGACCATGTCCACGTCCACGACCACGACCACATCTATGTCCACGTCTACGTCCACGTCCACGTCCATGTCCACGTCCATGTCCACGTCCATGTCCACGTCCATGTCCACGTCCATGTCCACATCCACGTCCACGTCCACGTCCATGTCAACGTCCATGTCCACGTCCATGTCCACGTCCATGTCCGCGTCCCTGTCCACGTCCACGTCCACGTCCACGTCCACGTCCATGTCCACGTCCACGTCCACGTCCATTCCACGTCCACGTCCATGTCGACGTCCACGTCCACATCCACGTCCACGTCCACGTCCATGTCCACGTCCATGTCCACGTCCATGTCCACGTCCATGTCCACGTCCATGTCCACGTCCATGTCCACGTCCATGTCCACGTCCATGTCCACGTCCATGTCCACGTCCATGTCCACGTCCATGTCCACGTCCATATCCACGTCCATGTCCACGTCCACGTCCACGTCCACGTCCATGTCAACGTCCATGTCCACGTCCATGTCCACGTCCATGTCCACGTCCATGTCCACGTCCATGTCTACGTCCATGTCCACGTCCATGTCCACGTCCACGTCCACGTCCATGTCGACGTCCATGTCCACGTCCACGTCCATGTCCACGTCCATGTCAACGTCCACGTCCATGTCCACGTCCATGTCCACGTCCATGTCCACGTTCACGTCCACGTCCACGTCCATGTCCACGACCATGTCCACATCCATGTCCACGTCCACGACCATGTCCACGGCCATGTCCACGTCCACGACCATGTCCACATCCACGACCACGACCACCTCTATGTCCACCTCCACGTTCACGTCCACGTCCATGTCCACGTCCATGTCCATGTCCACGTCCATGTCCACGTCCATGTCCACGTCCATGTCCACGTCCATATCCATGTCCACGTCCATGTCCACGTCCATGTCCACGTCCATGTCCATGTCCACGTCCATGTCCACGTCCACGTCCACGTCCATGTCCACGTCCACGTCCACGATCACGTCCACGTCCATGTCCACGTCCACGTCCACGTCTACGTCCACGTCCATGTCCACGTCCACGTCTACGTCCACGTCCACGTCCACGTCCACGTCCACGTCCACGTCCACGTCCATATCCATGTCCATGTCCACGTCCATGTCCACGTCCATGTCCACGTCCATTTCCATGTCCACGTCCACGTCCACGTCCATGTCCACGTCCACGTCCACGTCCATGTCCACGTCCATGTCTACGTCCATGTCCACGTCCACGTCCACGTCCATGTCCACGTCCACGTCCACGTCCATGTCCACGTCCATGTCCACGTCCATGTCCACGTCCATGTCCACGTCCATGTCCACGTCCATGTCCACGTCCATGTCCACGTCCATGTCCACGTCCATGTCCACGTCCATGTCCACGTCCATGTCCACGTCCATGTCCGCGTCCATGTCCACGTCCATGTCCACGTCCACGTCCACGTCCACGTCCACGTCCATGTCCACGTCCACGTCTATTCCACGTCCACGTCCACGTCGACGTCCACGTCCACGTCCACGTCCACGTCCATGTCCACGTCCATGTCCACGTCCATGTCCACGTCCATGTCCACGTCCATGTCCACGTCCATGTCCACGTCCATGTCCACGTCCATGTCCACGTCCATGTCCACGTCCACGTCCATGTCCACGTCCACGTCCACGTCCATGTCAACGTCGATGTCCACGTCCATGTCCACGTCCATGTCCACGTCCATGTCCACGTCCATGTCCACGTCCATGTCTACGTCCATGTCCACGTCCATGTCCACGTTCACGTCCAAGTCCATGTCCACGACCATGTCCACGTCCATGTCCACGTCCACGACCATGTCCACGTCCACGACCACGACCACCTCTATATCCACGTCCATGTCCACGTCCATGTCCACGTCCATGTCCATGTCCACGTCCATGCCCACGTCGATGTCCACGTCCATGTCGATGTCCACGTCCACGTCCATGTCCACGTCCACGTCCACGTCCATGTCCACGTCCATGTCCACGTCCATGTCCACGTCCACGTCCATGTCCACGTCCACGTCCACGTCCACGTCCATGTCCACGTCCATGTCCACGTCCATGTCCACGTCCATGTCCACGTCCATGTCCATGTCCATGTCCATGTCCACTTCCATGTCCACGTCCATATCCATGTCCACGTCCACGTCCACGTCCATGTCCACGTCCATGTCCACGTCCATGTCCACGTCCATGTCCACGTCCATGTCCACGTTCACGTCCACGTCCACGTCCATGTCCACGACCACGACCACGTCCATGTCCACGTCCACGACCACGACCATGTCCATGTCCACGTCCACGACCATGTCCACGACCACGACCACATCTATGTCCACGTCTACGTCCACGTCCACGTCCATGTCCACGTCCATGTCCACGTCCATGTCCACGTCCATGTCCACGTCCATGTCCACGTCCACGTCCACGTCCATGTCAACGTCCATGTCCACGTCCATGTCCACGTCCATGTCCACGTCCATGTCCACGTCCATGTCCACGTCCATGTCCACGTCCACGTCCACGTCCATGTCCACGTCCACGTCCACGTCCATGTCCACGTCCACGTCCACGTCCATCGTCCACGTCCATGTCCACGTCCATGTCCACGTCCATGTCCACGTCCATGTCCACGTCCATGTCCACGTCCATGTCCATGTCCACGTCCACGTCCATGTCCATGTCCACGTCCATGTCCATGTCCACGTCCACGTCCATGTCCACGTCCACGTCCACGTCCATGTCCACGTCCATGTCCACGTCCACGTCCACGTCCATGTCCACGTCCACGTCCACGTCCATTCCACGTCCACGTCGATGTCCACGTCCACGTCCACGTCGATGTCCACGTCCACGTCCATGTCCACGTCCATGTCCACGTCCATGTCCACGTCCATGTCCACGTCCATGTCCAGGTCCATGTCCACGTCCATGTCCACGTCCATGTCCACGTCCATGTCCACGTCCATGTCAACGTCCACGTCCATGTCCACGTCCATGTCCACGTCCATGTCCACGTTCACGTCCACGTCCACGTCCATGTCCACGACCATGTCCACATCCATGTCCACGTCCACGACCATGTCCACGGCCATGTCCACGTCCACGACCATGTCCACATCCACGACCACGACCACCTCTATGTCCACCTCCACGTTCACGTCCACGTCCATGTCCACGTCCATGTCCATGTCCACGTCCATGTCCACGTCCATGTCCACGTCCATGTCCACGTCCATATCCATGTCCACGTCCATGTCCACGTCCATGTCCACGTCCATGTCCATGTCCACGTCCATGTCCACGTCCACGTCCACGTCCATGTCCACGTCCACGTCCACGTCCACGTCCACGTCCATGTCCACGTCCACGTCCACGTCCACGTCTACGTCCACGTCCATGTCCACGTCCACGTCTACGTCCACGTCCACGTCCACGTCCACGTCCACGTCCACGTCCACGTCCATATCCATGTCCATGTCCACGTCCATGTCCACGTCCATGTCCACGTCCATTTCCATGTCCACGTCCACGTCCACGTCCATGTCCACGTCCACGTCCACGTCCATGTCCACGTCCACGTCCATGTCTACGTCCATGTCCACGTCCACGTCCACGTCCATGTCCACGTCCACGTCCACGTCCATGTCCACGTCCATGTCCACGTCCATGTCCACGTCCATGTCCACGTCCATGTCCACGTCCATGTCCACGTCCATGTCCACGTCCATGTCCACGTCCATGTCCACGTCCATGTCCACGTCCATGTCCACGTCCATGTCCGCGTCCATGTCCACGTCCATGTCCACGTCTACGTCCACGTCCACGTCCACGTCCATGTCCACGTCCACGTCCATTCCACGTCCACGTCCACGTCGACGTCCACGTCCACGTCCACGTCCACGTCCATGTCCACGTCCATGTCCACGTCCATGTCCACGTCCATGTCCACGTCCATGTCCACGTCCATGTCCACGTCCATGTCCACGTCCATGTCCACGTCCATGTCCACGTCCACGTCCACGTCCATGTCCACGTCCACGTCCACGTCCACGTCCATGTCAACGTCGATGTCCACGTCGATGTCCACGTCCATGTCCACGTCCATGTCCACGTCCATGTCCACGTCCATGTCTACGTCCATGTCCACGTCCATGTCCACGTTCACGTCCAAGTCCATGTCCACGACCATGTCCACGTCCATGTCCACGTCCACGACCATGTCCACGTCCACGACCACGACCACCTCTATATCCACGTCCATGTCCACGTCCATGTCCACGTCCATGTCCATGTCCACGTCCATGCCCACGTCGATGTCCACGTCCATGTCGATGTCCACGTCCACGTCCATGTCCACGTCCACGTCCACGTCCATGTCCACGTCCATGTCCACGTCCATGTCCACGTCCACGTCCATGTCCACGTCCACGTCCACGTCCACGTCCATGTCCACGTCCATGTCCACGTCCATGTCCACGTCCATGTCCACGTCCATGTCCATGTCCATGTCCATGTCCACTTCCATGTCCACGTCCATATCCATGTCCACGTCCACGTCCACGTCCATGTCCACGTCCATGTCCACGTCCATGTCCACGTCCATGTCCACGTCCATGTCCACGTTCACGTCCACGTCCACGTCCATGTCCACGACCACGACCACGTCCATGTCCACGTCCACGACCACGACCATGTCCATGTCCACGTCCACGACCATGTCCACGACCACGACCACATCTATGTCCACGTCTACGTCCACGTCCACGTCCATGTCCACGTCCATGTCCACGTCCATGTCCACGTCCATGTCCACGTCCATGTCCACGTCCACGTCCACGTCCATGTCAACGTCCATGTCCACGTCCATGTCCACGTCCATGTCCACGTCCATGTCCACGTCCATGTCCACGTCCATGTCCACGTCCACGTCCACGTCCATGTCCACGTCCACGTCCACGTCCATGTCCACGTCCACGTCCACGTCCATGTCCACGTCCATGTCCACGTCCATGTCCACGTCCATGTCCACGTCCATGTCCACGTCCATGTCCACGTCCATGTCCACGTCCATGTCCACGTCCACGTCCATGTCCATGTCCACGTCCATGTCCATGTCCACGTCCACGTCCATGTCCACGTCCACGTCCACGTCCATGTCCACGTCCATGTCCACGTCCACGTCCACGTCCACGTCCATGTCCACGTCCACGTCCACGTCCATTCCACGTCCACGTCGATGTCCACGTCCACGTCCACGTCGATGTCCACGTCCACGTCCATGTCCACGTCCATGTCCACGTCCATGTCCACGTCCATGTCCACGTCCATGTCCAGGTCCATGTCCACGTCCATGTCCACGTCCATGTCCACGTCCATGTCCACGTCCATGTCCACGTCCATATCCACGTCCATGTCCACGTCCACGTCCACGTCCACGTCCACGTCCATGTCAACGTCCATGTCCACGTCCATGTCCACGTCCATGTCCCCATCCATGTCCACGTCCATGTCCACGTCCATGTCTACGTCCATGTCCACGTCCATGTCCACGTCCACGTCCACGTCCACGTCCATGTCCACGTCCATATCCACGTCCACGTCCATGTCCACGTCCATGTCCACGTCCATGTCCACGTTCACGTCCACGTCCACGTCCATGTCCACGACCATGTCCACATCCATGTCCACGTCCACGACCATGTCCACATCCACGACCACGACCACCTCTATGTCCACGTCCACGTCCACGTCCATGTCCATGTCCACGTCCATGTCCATGTCCACGTCCATGTCCACGTCCATGTCCACGTCCATGTCCACATCCATATCCATGTCTACGTCCATGTCCACGTCCATGTCCACGTCCATGTCCACGTCCACGTCCATGTCCACGTCCACGTCCACGTCCATGTCCACGTCCACGTCCACGTCCATGTCCACGTCCATGTCCACGTCCACGTCCATGTGCACGTCCACGTCCACGTCCACGTCCACGTCCACGTCCATATCCATGTCCATGTCCACGTCCATGTCCACGTCCATGTCCACGTCCATGTCCATGTCCACGTCCACGTCCATGTCCACGTCCACGTCCACGTCCATGTCCACGTCCATGTCCACGTCCATGTCCACGTTCACGTCCACGCCCACGTCTATGTCCACGACCATGTCCACGTCCATGTCCACGTCCACGACCATGTCCACGTCCATGTCCACGTCCACGACCATGTCCACGTCCACGACCACGACCACATCTATGTCCACGTCCACGTCCACGTCCATGTCCACGTCCATGTCCACGTCTATGTCCACGTCCATGTCCACGTCCACGTCCACGTCCACGTCCATGTCAACGTCCATGTCAACGTCCATGTCCACGTCCATGTCCACGTCCATGTCCACGTCCACGTCCACGTCCATGTCCACGTCCATGTCCACGTCCACGTCCACGTCCACGTCCACGTCCATGTCCACGTCCATGTCCACGTCCATGTCCACGTCCATGTCCACGTCCATGTCCACGTCCATGTCCACGTCCATGTCCACGTCCATGTCTACGTCCATGTCCACGTCCATGTCCACGTCCATTTCCATGTCCACGTCCACGTCCATGTCCATATCCACGTCCATGTCCATGTCCACGTCGACGTCCATGTCCACGTCCATATCCTAGTCCACGTCCACGACGATGTCCACGGCCATGTCCACGTCCACGACCATGTCCACATCCACGACCACGACCACCTCTATGTCCACGTCCACGTCCTTGCCATGTCCACATCCATGTCCATGTCTACGTCCATGTCCACGTCCATGTCCACGTCCATGTCCACGTCCATATCCATGTCCACGTCCATGTCCACGTCCATGTCCACGTCCATGTCCACGTCCACGTCCATGTCCACGTCCACGTCCACGTCCATGTCCACGTCCACGTCCACGTCCATGTCCACGTCCATGTCCATGTCCACGTCCATGTCCACGTCCACGTCCACGTCCACGTCCATATCCATGTCCATGTCCACGTCCATGTCCACGTCCATGTCCACGTCCATGTCCATGTCCACGTCCACGGTCCACGTCCATGTCCACGTCCACGTCCACGTCCATGTCCACGTCCATGTCTACGTCCATGTCCACGTCCACGTCCACGTCCATGTCCACGTCCACGTCCACGTCCATGTCCACGTCCATGTCCACGTCCATGTCCACGTCCATGTCCACGTCCATGTCCACGTCCATGTCCACGTCCATGTCCACGTCCATGTCCACGTCCATGTCCACGTCCATGTCCGCGTCCATGTCCACGTCCATGTCCGCGTCCATGTCCACGTCCACGTCCACGTCCACGTCCACGTCCATGTCCACGTCCACGTCCACGTCCATTCCACGTCCACGTCCATGTCGACGTCCACGTCCATGTCCACGTCCACGTCCACGTCCATGTCCACGTCCATGTCCACGTCCATGTCCACGTCCATGTCCACGTCCATGTCCACGTCCATGTCCACGTCCATGTCCACGTCCATGTCCACATCCATGTCCACGTCCATGTCCACGTCCATGTCCACGTCCATATCCACGTCCATGTCCACGTCCACGTCCACGTCCACGTCCATGTCAACGTCCATGTCCACGTCCATGTCCACGTCCATGTCCACGTCCATGTCCACGTCCATGTCCACGTCCATGTCTACGTCCATGTCCACGTCCATGTCCACGTCCACGTCCACGTCCATGTCGACGTCCATGTCCACGTTCACGTCGATGTCCACGTCCATGTCCACGACCATGTCCACATCCATGTCCACGTCCATGTCCACGTCCATGTCCACGTTCACGTCCACGTCCACGTCCATGTCCACGACCATGTCCACATCCATGTCCATGTCCACGTCCATGTCCACGTCCATGTCCACGTCCATGTCCACGTTCACGTCCACGTCCACGTCCATGTCCACGACCATGTCCACATCCATGTCCACGTCCACGACGATGTCCACGGCCATGTCCACGTCCACGACCATGTCCACATCCACGACCACGACCACCTCTATGTCCACGTCCACGTCCACGTCCATGTCCACGTCCATGTCCATGTCCACGTCCATGTCCACGTCCATGTCCACGTCCATGTCCACGTCCATATCCATGTCCACGTCCATGTCCACGTCCATGTCCACGTCCATGTCCATGTCCACGTCCATGTCCACGTCCACGTCCACGTCCATGTCCACGTCCACGTCCACGTCCACGTCCACGTCCACGTCCACGTACACGTCCATATCCATGTCCATGTCCACGTCCATGTCCACGTCCATGTCCACGTCCATTTCCATGTCCACGTCCACGTCCACGTCCATGTCCACGTCCACGTCCACGTCCATGTCGACGTCCATGTCTACGTCCATGTCCACGTCCACGTCCACGTCCACGTCCATGTCCACGTCCACGTCCATGTCCACGTCCATGTCCACGTCCATGTCCACGTCCATGTCCACGTCCATGTCCACGTCCATGTCCACGTCCATGTCCACGTCCATGTCCACGTCCATGTCCACGTCCATGTCCACGTCCATGTCCACGTCCATGTCCGCGTCCATGTCCACGTCCATGTCCACGTCCACGTCCACGTCCACGTCCACGTCCACGTCCACGTCTATGTCCACGTCCACGTCCATTCCACGTCCACGTCCACGTCGACGTCCACGTCCACGTCCACGTCCACGTCCATGTCCACGTCCATGTCCACGTCCATGTCCACGTCCATGTCCACGTCCATGTCCACGTCCATGTCCACGTCCATGTCCACGTCCATGTCCACGTCCATGTCCACGTCCATGTCCATGTCCACGTCCATGTCCACGTCCACGTCCACGTCCATGTCCACGTCCACGTCCACGTCCACGTCCACGTCCACGTCCACGTACACGTCCATATCCATGTCCATGTCCACGTCCATGTCCACGTCCATGTCCACGTCCATTTCCATGTCCACGTCCACGTCCACGTCCATGTCCACGTCCACGTCCACGTCCATGTCGACGTCCATGTCTACGTCCATCCACGTCCACGTCCACGTCCATGTCCACGTCCACGTCCATGTCCACGTCCATGTCCACGTCCATGTCCACGTCCATGTCCACGTCCATGTCCACGTCCATGTCCACGTCCATGTCCACGTCCATGTCCACGTCCATGTCCACGTCCATGTCCACGTCCATGTCCACGTCCATGTCCGCGTCCATGTCCACGTCCATGTCCACGTCCACGTCCACGTCCACGTCCACGTCCACGTCCACGTCTATGTCCACGTCCACGTCCATTCCACGTCCACGTCCACGTCGACGTCCACGTCCACGTCCACGTCCACGTCCATGTCCACGTCCATGTCCACGTCCATGTCCACGTCCATGTCCACGTCCATGTCCACGTCCATGTCCACGTCCATGTCCACGTCCATGTCCACGTCCATGTCCACGTCCATGTCCACGTCCACGTCCACGTCCATGTCCACGTCCACGTCCACGTCCACGTCCATGTCACGTCCATGTCCACGTCCATGTCCACGTCCATGTCCACGTCCATGTCCACGTCCATGTCCACGTCCATGTCCACGTCCATGTCTACGTCCATGTCCACGTCCATGTCCACGTCCACGTCCACGTCCACGTCCATGTCCACGTCCATGTCCACGTCCACGTCCATGTCCACGTCCATGTCCACGTCCATGTCCACGTCCATGTCCACGTCCATGTCCACGTCCATGTCCACGTCCATGTCCACGTCCATGTCCACGTCCATGTCCACGTCCATGTCCACGTCCATGTCCACGTCCATGTCCACGTCCACGTCCACGTCCATGTCCACGTCCACGTCCACGTCCACGTCCATGTCAACGTCCATGTCCACGTCCATGTCCACGTCCATGTCCACGTCCATGTCCACGTCCATGTCCACGTCCATGTCTACGTCCATGTCCACGTCCATGTCCACGTCCACGTCCACGTCCACGTCCAAGTCCATGTCCACGTCCATGTCCACGTCCATGTCCACGTCCATGTCCACGTCCATGTCCACGTTCACGTCCACGTCCACGTCCATGTCCACGACCATGTCCACATCCATGTCCACGTCCACGACCATGTCCACGGCCATGTCCACGTCCACGACCATGTCCACATCCACGACCACGACCACCTCTATGTCCACCTCCACGTCCACGTCCACGTCCATGTCCACGTCCATGTCCATGTCCACGTCCATGTCCACGTCCATGTCCACGTCCATGTCCACGTCCATATCCATGTCCACGTCCATGTCCACGTCCATGTCCACGTCCATGTCCACGTCCACGTCCATGTCCACGTCCACGTCCACGTCCATGTCCACGTCCACGTCCACGTCCATGTCCACGTCCATGTCCACGTCCACGTCCATGTCCACGTCCACGTCCACGTCCACGTCCACGTCCACGTCCACGTCTATGTCCATGTCCATGTCCACGTCCACGTCCACGTCCATGTCCATGTCCACGTCCACGTCTACGTCCATGTCCACGTCCACGTCCATGTCCACGTCCATGTCCACGTCCATGTCCACGTCCACGTCCACGTCCACATCCACGTCCATGTCCACGTCCACGTCCACGTCCACGTCCATGTCCACGTCCATGTCCACGTCCATGTCCACGTCCATGTCCACGTCCATGTCCACGTCCATGTCCACGTCCATGTCCACGTCCATGTCCACGTCCATGTCCACGTCCATGTCCACGTCCATGTCCACGTCCATGTCCACGTCCACGTCCACGTCCACGTCCACGTCCATGTCCACGTCCACGTCCATGTCCACGTCCATGTCCACGTCCACGTCCACGTCCACGTCCATGTCCACGTCCATGTTCACGTCCATGTCCACGTCCATGTCCACGTCCATGTCCACGTCCATGTCCACGTCCATGTCCACGTCCATGTCCACGTCCATGTCCACGTCCATGTCCACGTCCATGTCCATGTCCATATCCACGTCCATGTCCACGTCCACGTCCACGTCCATGTCAACGTCCATGTCCACGTCCATGTTCACGTCCATGTCCACGTCCATGTCCACGTCCATGTCCACGTCCATGTCCACATCCATGTCCACGTCCACGTCCACGTCCACGTCCATGTCCACGTCCATGTCCACGTCCACGTCCATGTCCAGGTCCATGTCCACGTCCATGTCCACGTTCACGTCCACGTCCACGTCCATGTCCACAACCATGTCCACGTCCATGTCCACGTCCACGACCATGTCCACGTCCATGTCCACGTCCACGACTATGTCCACATCCACGACCACGACCACCTCTATGTCCATGTCCACGTCCACGTCCACGTCCATGTCCACGTCCATGTCCATGTCCACGTCCATGTCCACGTCCACGTCCACGTCCACGTCCATGTCCACGTCCATGTCCACGTCCATGTCCACTTCCATATCCACGTCCATGTCCACGCCCACGTCCACGTCCACGTCCATATCAACGTCCATGTCCACGTCCATGTCCACGTCCATGTCCACGTCCATGTCCACGTCCACGTCCACGTCCATGTCCACGTCCATGTCCACGTCCACGTCCACGTCCACATCCATGTTCACGTCCATGTCCACGTCCATGTCCACGTCCATATCCACGTCCATGTCCACGTTCACGTCCACGTCCACGTCCATGTCCACGACCATGTCCATGTCCACGTCCACGACCATGTCCACGTCCATGTCCACGTCCACGACAATGTCCACATCCACGACCACGACCACCTCTATGTCCACGTCCACGTCCATGTCCACGTCCATGTCCACGTCCATGTCCATGTCCACGTCCATGTCCACGTCCATGTCCACATCCATGTCCATGTCCACATCCACGTCCACGTCCATGTCCACGTCCACGTCCATGTCCACGTCCATGTCCACGTCCATGTCCACGTCCACGTCCATGTCCACGTCCACGTCCACGTCCATGTCCACGTCCATGTCCACGTCCATGTCCACGTCCATGTCCACGTCCATGTCCACGTCCATGTCCACGTCCATGTCCACGTCCATGTCCACGTCCATGTCCACGTCCATGTCCATGTCCACGTCCACGTCCACGTCCATGTCCACGTCCATGTCCATGTCCACGTCCACGTCCATGTCCACGTCCATGTCCACGTCCATGTCCACGTCCACGTCCATGTCCACGTCCACGTCCATGTCCACGTCCACGTCCACGTCCATTCCACGTCCACGTCCATGTCCACGTCCACGTCCACGTCCACGTCCATGTCCACGTCCATGTCCATGTCCACGTCCATGTCCACGTCCATGTCCACGTCCATGTCCACGTCCATGTCCACGTCAATGTCCACGTCCATGTCCACGTCCATGTCCACGTCCATGTCCACGTCCATATCCACGTCCATGTCCACGTCCACGTCCATGTCCACGTCCACGTCCACGTCCATGTCCACGTCCACGTCCACGTCCACGTCCACGTCCATGTCAACGTCCATGTCCACGTCCATGTCCACGTCCATGCTTACGTCCATGTCCACGTCCACGTCCACGTCCACGTCCATGTCCACGTCCATGTCCACGTCCATGTCCACGTCCATGTCCACCTCCATGTCCACGTTCACGTCCACGTCCACGTCCATGTCCACGACCATGTCCACGTCCATGTCCACGTCCACGACCATGTCCACGTCCATGTCCACGTCCACGACAATGTCCACATCCACGACCACGACCACCTCTATGTCCACGTCCACGTCCATGTCCACGTCCATGTCCACGTCCATGTCCATGTCCACGTCCATGTCCACGTCCATGTCCACATCCATGTCCATGTCCACATCCACGTCCACGTCCATGTCCACGTCCACGTCCACGTCCATGTCCACGTCCATGTCCACGTCCATGTCCACGTCCACGTCCATGTCCACGTCCACGTCCACGTCCATGTCCACGTCCATGTCCACGTCCATGTCCACGTCCATGTCCACGTCCATGTCCACGTCCATGTCCACGTCCATGTCCACGTCCATGTCCACGTCCATGTCCACGTCCATGTCCACGTCCATGTCCACGTCCATGTCCACGTCCATGTCCATGTCCACGTCCACGTCCACGTCCATGTCCACGTCCATGTCCATGTCCACGTCCACGTCCATGTCCACGTCCATGTCCACGTCCATGTCCACGTCCACGTCCATGTCCACGTCCACGTCCATGTCCACGTCCACGTCCACGTCCATTCCAGGTCCACGTCCATGTCCACGTCCACGTCCACGTCCACGTCCATGTCCACGTCCATGTCCATGTCCACGTCCATGTCCACGTCCATGTCCACGTCCATGTCCACGTCCATGTCCACGTCAATGTCCACGTCCATGTCCACGTCCATGTCCACGTCCATGTCCACGTCCATATCCACGTCCATGTCCACGTCCACGTCCATGTCCACGTCCATGTCAACGTCCATGTCCACGTCCATGTCCACGTCCATGTCCACGTCCATGTCCACGTCCATGTCCACGTCCACGTCCACGTCCATGTCCACGTCGACGTCCATGTCCACGTCCATGTCCACGTCCATGTCCACGTTCACGTCCACGTCTACGTCCATGTCCACGACCATGTCCACGTCCATGTCCACGTCCACGACCATGTCCACGGCCATGTCCACGTCCACGACCATGTCCACATCCACGACCACGACCACCTCTATGTCCACGTCCACGTCCACGTCCACGTCCACGTCCATGTCCACGTCCATGTCCACGTCCATGTCCACGTCCATGTCCACGTCCATATCCATGTCCACGTCCATGTCCACGTCCATGTCCACGTCCACGTCCACGTCCACATCCATGTTCACGTCCATGTCCACGTCCATGTCCACGTCCATATCCATGTCCATGTCCACGTTCACGTCCACGTCCACGTCCATGTCCACGACCATGTCCACGTCCATGTCCACGTCCACGACCATGTCCACGTCCATGTCCACGTCCACGACAATGTCCACATCCACGACCACGACCACCTCTATGTCCACGTCCACGTCCATGTCCACGTCCATGTCCACGTCCATGTCCATGTCCACGTCCATGTCCACGTCCATGTCCACATCCATGTCCATGTCCACATCCACGTCCACGTCCATGTCCACGTCCACGTCCACGTCCATGTCCACGTCCATGTCCACGTCCATGTCCACGTCCACGTCCATGTCCACGTCCACGTCCACGTCCATGTCCACGTCCATGTCCACGTCCATGTCCACGTCCATGTCGACGTCCATGTCCACGTCCATGTCCACGTCCATGTCCACGTCCATGTCCACGTCCATGTCCACGTCCATGTCCACGTCCATGTCCACGTCCATGTCCACGTCCATGTCCATGTCCACGTCCACGTCCACGTCCATGTCCACGTCCATGTCCATGTCCACGTCCACGTCCATGTCCACGTCCATGTCCACGTCCACGTCCATGTCCACGTCCACGTCCATGTCCACGTCCACGTCCACGTCCATTCCACGTCCACGTCCATGTCCACGTCCACGTCCACGTCCACGTCCATGTCCACGTCCATGTCCATGTCCACGTCCATGTCCACGTCCATGTCCACGTCCATGTCCACGTCCATGTCCACGTCAATGTCCACGTCCATGTCCACGTCCATGTCCACGTCCATGTCCACGTCCATATCCACGTCCATGTCCACGTCCACGTCCATGTCCACGTCCATGTCAACGTCCATGTCCACGTCCATGTCCACGTCCATGTCCACGTCCATGTCCACGTCCATGTCCACGTCCATGTCCACGTCCACGTCCACGTCCATGTCCACGTCGACGTCCATGTCCACGTCCATGTCCACGTCCATGTCCACGTTCACGTCCACGTCTACGTCCATGTCCACGACCATGTCCACGTCCATGTCCACGTCCACGACCATGTCCACGGCCATGTCCACGTCCACGACCATGTCCACATCCACGACCACGACCACCTCTATGTCCACGTCCACGTCCACGTCCACGTCCACGTCCATGTCCACGTCCATGTCCACGTCCATGTCCACGTCCATGTCCACGTCCATATCCATGTCCACGTCCATGTCCACGTCCATGTCCACGATCACGTCCATGTCCACGTCCATGTCCACGTCCATGTCCACGTCCACGTCCACGTCCATGTCCACGTCCATGTCCTCGTCCACGTCCATGTCCACGTCCACGTCCACGTCCACGTCCACGTCCACGTCCACGTCCAGATCCATGTCCATGTCCACGTCCATGTCCACGTCCATGTCCATGTCCATGTCCATGTCCACGTCCACGTCCACGTCCATCTCCACGTCCACGTCCATGTCCACGTCCACGTCCACGTCCATGTCCACGTCCACGTCCACGTCCACGTCCATGTCCACGTCCACGTCCATGTCCACGTCCATGTCCACGTCCATGTCCACGTCGATGTCCACGTCCATGTCCACGTCCATGTCCACGTCCATGTCCACGTCCATGTCCACGTCCATGTCCACGTCCATGTCCACGTCCATGTCCATGTCCATATCTACGTCCATGTCCACGTCCACGTCCACGTCCATGTCAACGTCCATGTCCACGTCCATGTTCACGTCCATGTCCACGTCCATGTCCACGTCCATGTCCACGTCCATGTCCACATCCATGTCCACGTCCACGTCCACGTCCATGTCCACGTCCATGTCCACGTCCACGTCCATGTCCAGGTCCATGTCCACGTCCATGTCCACGTTCACGTCCACGTCCACGTCCATGTCCACAACCATGTCCACGTCCATGTCCACGTCCACGACCATGTCCACGTCCATGTCCACGTCCACGACTATGTCCACATCCACGACCACGACCACCTCTATGTCCACGTCCACGTCCACGTCCACGTCCATGTCCACGTCCATGTCCATGTCCACGTCCATGTCCACGTCCACGTCCATGTCCACGTCCACGTCCATGTCCACGTCCATGTCCATGTCCACGTCCATGTCCACGTCCATGTCCACGTCCACGTCCACGTCCACGTCCACATCCATGTCCACGTCCACGTCCATGTCCACGTCCACGTCCACGTCCACGTCCACGTCCATGTCCACGTCCATGTCCACGTCCATGTCCACGTCCATGTCCACGTCCATGTCCACGTCCATGTCCACGTCCATGTCCACGTCCTTGTCCACGTCCATGTCCACGTCCATGTCCACGTCCATGTCCATGTCCATATCCACGTCCATGTCCATGTCCATATCCACGTCCATGTCAACGTCCACGTCCACGTCCATGTCCACGTCCATGTCCACGTCCATGTCCACGTCCATGTCCACGTCCACGTCCACCTCCATGTCTACGTCCACGTCCACGTCCATGTCCACGTCCATGTCCACGTCCACGTCCACGTCCATGTCCACGTCCACGTCCATGTCCACGTTCACGTCCACGTTCACGTCCATGTCCACAACCATGTCCACGTCCATATCCACGTCCACGACCATGTCCACGTCCATGTCCACGTCCACGACTGTGTCGACATCCACGACCACGACCACCTCTATGTCCACGTCCACGTCCACGTCCACGTCCATGTCCACGTCAATGTCCATGTCCTCGTCCATGTCCACGTCCACGTCCATGTCCACGTCCATGTCCACGTCCATGTCCACGTCCATATCCACGTCCATGTCCACGTCCACGTCCACGTCCACGTCCATGTCAACGTCCATGTCCACGTCCATGTCCACGTCCATGTCCACGTCCATGTCCACGTCCACGTCCACGTCCATGTCCATGTCCACGTCCACGTCCACGTCCACGTCCATGTCCACGTCCATGTCCACGTCCACGTCCATGTCCATGTCCATGTCCACGTCCACGTCCACGTCCATGTCCACGTCAATGTCCATGTCCTCGTCCATGTCCACGTCCACGTCCATGTCCACGTCCATGTCCACGTCCACGTCCACGTCCACGTCCACGTCCATATCCACGTCCATGTCCACGTCCACGTCCACGTCCACGTCCATGTCAACGTCCATGTCCACGTCCATGTCCACGTCCACGTCCACGTCCATGTCCACGTCCATGTCCATGTCCACGTCCATGTCCACGTCCATGTCCACGTCCACGTCCACGTCCATGTCCACGTCCACGTCCACGTCCACGTCCACGTCCATGTCCACGTCAATGTCCATGTCCTCGTCCATGTCCACGTCCACGTCCACGTCCACGTCCATGTCCACGTCCATGTCCACGTCCACGTCCATGTCCACGTCCACGTCCACGTCCATGTCCACGTCCATGTCCACGTCCATGTCCACGTTCACGTCCACGTCCATGTCCACGACCATGTCCACGTCCATGTCCACGTCCACGACCATGTCCACGTCCATATCCACGTCCACGACCATGTCCACATCCACGACCACGACCACCTCTATGTCCACGTCCACGTCCACGTCCATGTCCACGTCCACGTCCATGTCCACGTCGACGTCCAGGTCCACGTCCACGTCCACGTTCACGTCCACGACCACGTCCACGTCCACGTCCACGTCCACGTCCATGTCCACGTCCATGTCCACGTCCACGTCCACGACCACGTCCACGTCCACGTCCATGTCCACGTCCACGTCCACGTCCACGTCCACGACCACGTCCACGTCAACGTCAACGTGCACGTCCACGTCCATGTCCATGTCCACGTCCAAGTCTTCCACGTCCACGACCACGTCCACGTCAACGACAACGTGCACGTCCATGACCACGTCCACGTCCACGTCCTCCACGTCCACGTTCACGTCCTCCACGTCCACGTCCTCCACGTCCACGTCCACGTCCTCCACGTCCACGTCCACGTCCACGTCCACGTCCTCGTCCACGTCCACGTCCACGTCCACGTCCTCCACGTCCACGTCCACGTCCACGTCCTCCACGTCCACGTCCTCCACGTCCACGTCCACGTCCTCCACGTCCACGTCCACGTCCATGACCACGACCACGTCCATGTCCATGTCCACGTCCACGACCACGTCCACGTCTACGACCACGTCCACGACCACGACCACGTCCACGTCGACGTCCACGTCCACGACCACGTCCACGTCCACGTCCATGTCCACGTCCAAGTCCTCCACGTCCACGTCCACGTCCACGTCCACGTCCACGTCAACGTCCACGACCACGTCCACGTCCACGTCCACGTCCAAGACCATGTCCACGTCCACGTCCACGTCCAGGTCCACGTCCACGTCCACGTCCACGTCCACGACCACGTCCACGTCCATGTCCACGTCCATGTCCACGTCCATGTCCAGGTCCACGTCCACGTCCACGTCCACGTCCACGACCACGTCCACGTCCACGTCCACGTCCACGTCCACAGCCACGTCCACGTCCATGTCCACGTCCACGTCCACGTCCACGTCCACGTCCACGACCATGTCCACGTCCATGTCCTCGTCCACGTCCACGTCCACGTCCATGTCCACGTCCATGTCCTCGTCCACGTCCACGTCCACGTCCATGTCCACGTCCACGTCCACGTCCACGTCCACGTCGATGTCCATGTCCACGTCCACGTCAACGTCCACGTCCACGTCCACGTCCACGTCCACGTCCACGTCCACGTCCTCCACGTCCACGTCCACGTCCACGTCCTCCACGTCCACGTCCTCCACGTCCACGTCCACGTCCTCCACATCCACGTCCTCCTCGTCCACGTCCACGTCCTCCACGTCCACGTCCACGACCACGACCACGTCCATGTCCACATCCAAGTCCACGACCACGTCCACGTCTACGACCACGTCCACGACCACGTCCACGTCGACGTCCACGTCCACGACCACGTCCATGTCCACGTCCATGTCCACGTCCAAGTCCTCCACGTCCACGACCACGTCCACGTCCACGTCCACGTCCACGTCAACGTCCACGTCCATGTCCACGACCATGTCCACGTCCACGTCCACGTCCATGTCCACGTCCACGTCCATGTCCACGTCCACGTCCACGTCCATGTCCACGTCCACGTCCACGTCCACGTCCACGTCCACGTCCATGTCCACGTCCATGTCCACGTCCACGTCCATGTCCACGTCCACGTCCACGTCCACGTCCATGTCCACGTCCATGTCCACGTCCACGTCCACGACCACGTCCACGTCCACGTCCACGTCCACGTCCACGTCCACGTCCACGTCCACGTCGACGTCCACGTCCACGTCCACGTCCACGTCCATGTCCACGTCCACGTCCACCTCCACGTCCACGTCCACGTGCACGTGCACGTGCACGTCCACGTCCACGTCCACGTCCACGACCACGTCCATAGCCACGTCCACGTCCATGTCCACAACCACGTCCACGTCCACAGCTACGTCCACGTCCACGGCCACGTCCACGTCCACGTCCTCGTCCACGTCCACGTCCACGTCCATGTCCACGTCCACGTCCACGTCCACGTCCACGTCCACGTCCATGTCCACGTCCATGTCCTCGTCCACGTCCACGTCCACGTCCATGTCCCCGTCAATGTCCATGTCCACGTCCATGTCCACGTCCACGTCCACGTCCATGTCCACGTCCACGTCCACATCCACGTCCACGTCCACGTCCACGTCCACGTCCACGTCGATGTCCACGTCCACGTCCACGTCCACGTCCAGGTCCACGTCCACGTCCACGTCCACGTCCACGTCCTCCACGTCCACGTCCACGTCCACGTCCACGTCCACGTCCACGTCCTCCACGTCCACGTCCATGTCCTCCACGTCCACGTCCTCCACGTCCACGTCCACGTCCTCCACGTCCACGTCCACGTCCACGACCACGACCATGTCCATGTCCACGTCCACGTCCACGACAACGTCCACGTCTACGACCAAGTCCACGACCACGACCACGTCCACGTCGACGTCCACGTCCACGACCACGTCCACGTCCATGTCCACGTCCAAGTCCTCCACATCCACGACCACGTCCACGTCCACTTCCACGACCATGTCCACGTCCACGTCCATGTCCACGTCCACGTCCACGTCCACGTCCATGTCCACGTCCATGTCCACGTCCACGTCCACGTCCACGTCCACGTCCACGTCCATGTCCACGTCCACGTCCACGTCCACGTCCACGTCCACGTCCACGTCCACGACCACGTCCACGTCCACGTCCACGTCCACGTCCACGTCCACGTCCATGTCCACGTCCACGTCCACGTCCACGTCCACGTCCACGACCATGTCCACGTCCATGTCCTCGTCCACGTCCACGTCTACGTCCACGTCCATGTCCACGTCCATGTCCTCGTCCACGTCCACGTCCACGTCCACGTCCAGGTCCACGTCCACGTCCACGTCCAGGTCCACGTCCACGTCCACGTCCACGTCCATGACCATGTTCACGTCCACGCCCACGTCCACGTGCACGTCCATGTCCACGTCCACGTCCACGTCCACGTCCATGTCCACTTCCACGTCCACGTCCACGTCCACAACCATGTCCACGTCCACGTCCACGTCCATGTCCACGTCCACGTCGACGTCTACGTCCACGTCCATGTCCACGTCCACGTCCACGTCCACGACCATGTCCACGTCCACGTCCACGTCCACGTCAACGTGCACGTCCACGACCACGTCCACGTCCACGTCCACGTCCTCCACGTCCACGTCCACGTCCTCCACGTCCACGTCCACGACCACGTCCACGTCCACGACCACGTCTACGTCCACGTCCACGTCCAAGTCCAGGTCCACGTCCGCGTCCACGTCCACGACCACATCCGCGTCCACGTCCACGTCCACGTCCACGTCCACGTCGAAGTCCTCCAGGTCCACGTCCACGTCCTCCACCACGTCCACGTCCTCGTCCACATCCATGACCACGTCCACGACCATGTCCTCGACGTCCACGTCCAAGTCCTCCACGTCCAAGTCCAAGTCCTCCATGTCCACAACCACGTCCACATCCACGTCAACGTCCACGTCCACGACCACGTCCACGTCCACATCCACATCCACGTCCACATCCTACACGTCCACGTCGACGTCCTCCACGTTCACATCCACGTCGACGTCCACGACCACGTCCACTCCACGACCACGTCCACATCGACGTCCACGTCCAAGTCCAGGTCCAGGTCCACGTCCACGTCCACGTCCACGTCCCCGTCCATGTCCTCCACGTCCATGTCCACGACCACGTCCACGTCCACGACCACCTTTAGGTCCACGTCCACGTCCACGTCCACGTCCAAGTCCTCCACGTCCACGACCACGTCCACGTCCACGTCCAAGTCCACATTCACGTCCACGTCCACGTCCACGTCCACGACCACGTCCACGTCCACGTCCACGACCTCCACGACCACGTCCACGTCCACGACCACGTCCACGTCCACGTCCACGTCCAGGTCCACGTCCACATCCCTGTCCACGTCCATGTCCTCCACGTCCACGACCACGTCCATGTCCACGTCCATGTCCTCGTCCACGTCTACGTCCATGTCCTCGTCCACGTCCACGTCCACGTCCAGGTCCACGTCCAGGTCCACGTCCAGGTCCACGTCCACGTCCACGTCCACGTCCACGTCCATGTCCTCGTCCACGTCCACATCCACGTCCACGTCCACGTCCACGTCCACGTCCACGACCACGTTCACGTCCACGCCCACGTCCACGTCCACGACCATGTTCACGTCCACGCCCACGTCTACGCCCACGTCCATGTCCACGTCCACGTCCACGTCCACGTCCACGTCCATGTCCACGTCCACGTCCACGTCCACGTCCACGTCACGTCCACGTCCACGTCCACGTCCACGTCAACGTGCACGTCCACGACCACGTTCACGTCCACGTCCACGTCCTCCACGTCCACGTCCACGTCCTCCACGTCCACGTCCACGACCACGTCCACGTCCACGTCCACGACCACGTCTACGTCCACGTCCACGTCCAAGTCCAGGTCCACGTCCGCGTCCACGTCCACGACCACGTCTGCGTCCACGTCCACGTCCACGTCCACCTCCACGTCCACGTCGAAGTCCTCCACGTCCACGTCGAAGTCCTCCACCACGTCCACGTCGACGTCCACATCCACATCCATGACCACGTCCACGACCATGTCCTCGACGTCCACGTCCAAGTCCTCCACGTCCAAGTCCAAGTCCTCCATGTCCACAACCACGTCCACGTCCACGTGCACGTCAACGTCCACGTCCACGACCACGTCCACGTCCACATCCACATCCACGTCCACATCCTACACGTCCACGTCCACGTCCTCCACGTCCACATCCACGTCGACGTCCACGACCACGTCCACTCCACGACCACGTCCACATCCACGTCCACGTCCACGTCCACGTCCTCCACGTCCACGTCCACGACTACGTCCACGTCCACGACCACCTTTAGGTCCACGTCCACGTCCACGTCCACGTCCAAGTCCTCAACGTCCACGACCACGTCCACGTCCACGTCCACGTCCAAGTCCACGTCCACGTCCACGTCCACGACCACGTCCACGTCCACGACCTCCACGACCACGTCCACGTCTACGACCACGTCCACGTCCACGTCCACGTCCAGGTCCACGTCCACATCTACGTCCACGTCCATGTCCTCCATGTCCACGACCACGTCCATGTCCACGTCCATGTCCACGTCCACGTCGTGGACGACCACGTCCACGTCTACGACCACGTCCACGACCACGACCACGTCCACGTCCACGTCCACGTCCACGACCATGTCCTCCACGTCCACGACCATGACCACGTCCACGACCACGTCTTACGACCACGTCCACGACCACGACCTTGTCCACGTCCACGTCTACGTCCACGACCACGTCCTCCACGTCCACGACCATGACCACGTCCACGACCACGTCCACGTCCAGGTCCACGTCCACGTCCACGACCACGTCCACGTCCTCGTCCACGTCCAAGTCCTCCACGTCCATGACCACGTCCACGACCACGTCCACGTCCACGTCCAAGTCCTCCACGTCCACGACCACGTCCACGTCCACGTCCACGACCACGTCCACGTCCACGTCCACGACCACGTCCACTCCACAACCACGACCACGTCCACGACCACGTCCAGGTCCAGGTCCACGTCCGCGCCCACGTCCACGTCCACGACCAGCTCCACGTCCACGTCGACGTCCACGACCACGTCCACTCCACCACCACGTCCACGTCCATGTCCAAGTCCAGGTCCAAGTCCACGTCCGCGCCCACGTCCACGTCCACGTCCAGGTCCACGTCCACGTCCACATCCACGTCCACGTCCACGTCCTCCACGTCCACGTCCACGTCCACGTCCATGTCCACGTCCACGTCCACGACCACGTCCACGTCCTCCACATCTACGTCCACGTCCACGTCCACGTCCATGTCCACGTCCACGTCCACGTCGATGACCACGTCCACGTCCACGTCCATCTCCACGTCCACGTCCACGTCCACGTCCACGACCATGTCCACATCCACGTCCACGTCCATCTCCACGTCCACGTCCACGTCCACGTCCACGACCATGTCCACGTCCACGTCCACGTCCACGTCCATGTCCACGTCCACGTCCACGTCCACGTCCACGTCCACGTCCACGTCCACGTCCACGACTACGTCCACGTCCACGTCCACGTCCACGTCTACGTCCACTTCCATGTCCACGTCCACGTCCACGTCCACCTCCACGACCATGTCCACGTCCACATCCACGACCATGTCCACGTTTATGTCCACGTCCAAGTGCTCCCCGTCCACGACCACGTCCACGTCCTCCACGTCCACGTCCACGTCCTCCACGTCCACGTCCACGTCCACGTCCACGTCCACGTCCACGTCCATGTCCACGTCCACGTCCACGTCCACGTCCACGTCCACGTCCACGACCATGTTTACGTCCACGTCCACGTCCACGTCCACGTCCACGACCACGTCCACGTCCACGTCCACGTCCACGTCCACGTACATGTCCACGTCCAAGTCCTCCACGTCCACGACCACGTCTACGTCAACGTCAACGTGCACGTCCACGACCACGTCCACGTCCTCCACGTCCACGTCCACGTCCTCCACGTCCACGTCCACGTCCACGTCCACGACAACGACCACGTCCATGTCCACGTCCACGTCCACGTCCTCCACGTCCACGTCCACGTCCTCCACGTCCACGTCCTCCACGTCCACGTCCACGTCCTCCACGTCCACGTCCACGTCCACGACCACGACCACGTCCATGTCCACGTCCACGTCCACGACCACGTCCACGTCTACGACCACGTCCACGACCACGACCACGTCTACGTCGACGTCCACGTCCACGACCACGTCCACATCCACGTCCACGTCCACGTCCAAGTCCTCCACGTCCACGACCACGTCCACGTCCACGTCAACGTCCACGTCCACGACCACGTCCACGTCTACGTCCACGTCCACGACCATGTCCACGTCCACGTCCATGTCCACGTCCACGACCATGTCCACGTCCACGTCCACGTCCACGTCCACGTCCACGTCCACCTCCACGTCCACCTCCACGTCCACGTCCACCTCCACGTCCACGTCCACGTCCACCTCTCCGTCCACGTCCACCTCCACGTCCACCTCCACGTCCACCTCCACGTCCACCTCCACGTCCACCTCCACGTCCACGTCCACGTCCACGTCCACGTCCACGTCCAGTCCACGTCCACGTCCACGTCCACGTCCACGTCCACGACCACGTCCACGTCCACGTCCACGTCCACGTCAACATCCACGTCCACGTCCACGTCCACATCCTTGTCCATGTCCCGTCCACGTCCACGTCCCGTCCACGTCCAGGTCCACGTCCCGTCCACGTCCAGGTCCACGTCCAGGTCCACGTCCAGGTCCACGTCCACGTCCACGTCCACGTCTACGTCCTCCACGTCCACGTCCACGTCCTCCACGTCCACGTCCTCCACGTCCACGTCCAAGTCCACATTCACGTCCACGTCCACGTCCACGACCACGTCCACGTCCACGTCCACGACCTCCACGACCACGTCCGAGTCCACGACCACGTCCACGTCCACGTCCAGGTCCACGTCCACATCCCTGTCCACGTCCATGTCCTCCACGTCCACGACCACGTCCATGTCCACGTCCATGTCCTCGTCCACGTCCACGTCCATGTCCTCGTCCACGTCCACGTCCACGTCCAGGTCCACGTCCAGGTCCACGTCCAGGTCCACGTCCACGTCCACGTCCACGTCCACGTCCATGTCCTCGTCCACGTCCACATCCACGTCCACGTCCACGTCCACGTCCACGACCACGTTCACGTCCACGCCCACGTCCACGTCCACGACCATGTTCACGTCCACGCCCACGTCTACGCCCACGTCCATGTCCACGTCCACGTCCACGTCCACGTCCACGTCCATGTCCACGTCCACGTCCACGTCCACGTCCACGTCACGTCCACGTCCACGTCCACGTCCACGTCAACGTGCACGTCCACGACCACGTCCACGTCCACGTCCACGTCCTCCACGTCCACGTCCACGTCCTCCACGTCCACGTCCACGACCACGTCCACGTCCACGTCCACGACCACGTCTACGTCCACGTCCACGTCCAAGTCCAGGTCCACGTCCGCGTCCACGTCCACGACCACGTCTGCGTCCACGTCCACGTCCACCTCCACGTCCACGTCGAAGTCCTCCACGTCCACGTCGAAGTCCTCCACCACGTCCACGTCGACGTCCACATCCACATCCATGACCACGTCCACGACCATGTCCTCGACGTCCACGTCCAAGTCCTCCACGTCCAAGTCCAAGTCCTCCATGTCCACAACCACGTCCACTTCCACGTGCATGTCAACGTCCACGTCCACGACCACGTCCACGTCCACATCCACATCCACGTCCACATCCTACACGTCCACGTCCACGTCCTCCATGTCCACATCCACGTCGACGTCCACGACCACGTCCACTCCACGACCACGTCCACATCCACGTCCACGTCCACGTCCACGTCCTCCACGTCCACGTCCACGACTACGTCCACGTCCACGACCACCTTTAGGTCCACGTCCACGTCCACGTCCACGTCCAAGTCCTCAACGTCCACGACCACGTCCACGTCCACGTCCAAGTCCACGTCCACGTCCACGTCCACGACCACGTCCACGTCCACGACCTCCACGACCACGTCCACGTCTACGACCACGTCCACGTCCACGTCCACGTCCAGGTCCACGTCCACATCTACGTCCACGTCCATGTTCTCCATGTCCACGACCACGTCCATGTCCACGTCCATGTCCACGTCCACGTCGTGGACGACCACGTCCACGTCTACGACCACGTCCACGACCACGACCACGTCCACGTCCACGTCCACGTCCACGACCATGTCCTCCACGTCCACGACCATGACCATTTCCACGACCACGTCTTACGACCACGTCCACGACCACGTCCACGACCTCCACGACCACGTCCACGACCTCCACGACCACGTCCACGACCTCCACGACCACGTCTTACGACCACGTCCACGACCACGTCCACGTCCACGTCCACGTCCACGTCCACGTCCACGACCACGTCCTCCACGTCCACGACCATGACCACGTCCACGACCACGTCCACGTCCAGGTCCACGTCCACGTCCACGACCACGTCCACGTCCTCGTCCACGTCCAAGTCCTCCACGTCCATGACCACGTCCACGACCACGTCCACGTCCACGTCCAAGTCCTCCACGTCCACGACCACATCCACGTCCACGACCACGTCCACGTCCACGTCCACCACCACGTCCACTCCACAACCACGACCACGTCCACGACCACGTCCAGGTCCAGGTCCACGTCCGCGCCCACGTCCACGTCCACGACCAGCTCCACGTCCACGTCGACGTCCACGACCACGTCCACTCCACCACCACGTCCACGTCCATGTCCAAGACCAGGTCCAAGTCCACGTCCGCGCCCACGTCCACGTCCACGTCCAGGTCCACGTCCACGTCCACATCCACGTCCACGTCCTCCACGTCCACGTCCACGTCCACGTCCATGTCCACGTCCACGTCCACGACCACGTCCACGTCCTCCACATCTACGTCCACGTCCACGTCCACGTCCATGTCCACGTCCACGTCCACGTCGATGACCACGTCCACGTCCACGTCCATCTCCACGTCCACGTCCACGTCCACGTCCACGACCATGTCCACGTCCACGTCCATCTCCACGTCCACGTCCACGTCCACGTCCACGACCATGTCCACGTCCACGTCCACGTCCATGTCCACGTCCACGTCCACGTCCACGTCCACGTCCACGTCCACGTCCACGACTACGTCCACGTCCACGTCCACGTCCACGTCCACGTCCACGTCCATGTCCACGTCCACGTCAACGTCCACCTCCACGACCATGTCCACGTCCACATCCACGACCATGTCCACGTTTATGTCCACGTCCAAGTCCTCCCCGTCCACGACCACGTCCACGTCCTCCACGTCCACGTCCACGTCCTCCACGTCCACGTCCACGTCCACGTCCACGTCCACGTCCACGTCCACGTCCATGTCCACATCCACGTCCACGTCCACGTCCACGTCCACGTCCACGTCCACGACCATGTCCACGTCCACGTCCACGTCCACGTCCACGTCCACGACCACGTCCACGTCCACGTCCACGTCCACGTCCACGTACATGTCCACGTCCAAGTCCTCCACGTCCACGACCACGTCTACGTCAACGTCAACGTGCACGTCCACGACCACGTCCACGTCCTCCACGTCCACGTCCACGTCCTCCACGTCCACGACAACGACCAAGGCCATGTCCACGTCCACGTCCACGTCCTCCACGTCCACGTCCACGTCCTCCACGTCCACGTCCTCCACGTCCACGTCCGCGTCCTCCACGTCCACGTCCACGTCCACGACCACGACCACGTCCATGTCCACGTCCACGTCCACGACCACGTCCACGTCTACGACCACGTCCACGACCACGACCACGTCCACGTCGACGTCCACGTCCACGACCACGTCCACGTCCACGTCCACGTCCACGTCCAAGTCCTCCACGTCCACGACCACGTCCACGTCCACGTCAACGTCCACGTCCACGACCACGTCCACGTCTACGTCCACGTCCACGACCATGTCCACGTCCACGTCCATGTCCACGTCCACGACCATGTCCACGTCCACGTCCACGTCCACGTCCACGTCCACGTCCACCTGCACGTCCACCTCCACGTCCACGTCCACCTCCACGTCCACGTCCACGTCCACCTCCACGTCCACGTCCACCTCCACGTCCACCTCCACGTCCACCTCCACGTCCACCTCCACGTCCACCTCCACGTCCACGTCCACGTCCACGTCCACGTCCAGTCCACGTCCACGTCCACGTCCACGTCCACGTCCACGTCCACGACCACGTCCACGTCCACGTCCACGTCAACGTCCACGTCCACGTCCACGTCCACGTCCTTGTCCATGTCCCGTCCACGTCCACGTCCCGTCCACGTCCAGGTCCACGTCCCGTCCACGTCCAGGTCCACGTCCAGGTCCACGTCCAGGTCCACGTCCACGTCCACGTCCACGTCCACGTCTACGTCCTCCACGTCCACGTCCACGTCCTCCACGTCCACGTCCTCCACGTCCACGTCCACGTCCTCCACGTCCACGTCCACGTCCACGACCACGTCCACGTCCACGTCCACGACCACGTCCACGTCTACGACCACGTCCACGACCACGACCACGTCCACGTCCACGTCCACGTCCACGTCCACGTCCAGGTCCACGTCCACGTCCACGTCCACGTCCACGTCCAGGTCCACGTCCACGTCCACGTCCACGTCCACGTCCTCCACGTCCACGTCCACGTCCTCCACGTCCACGTCCACGTCCATGTCCACGTCCACGTCCACGTCCATGTCCACGTCCACGTCCATGTCCACGTCCACGTCCATGTCCACGTCCACGTCTACGTCCACGTCCATGTCCACGTCCACGTCCACGTCCTCTACGTCCATGTCCACGTCCACTGTCAGAACATTATAGCTTACTTATTTGTGTAGGCTATAGTGGGGTATCCCATAGGGGGTACAATCCCATTAGGGTTTCCTATTTGTACCCACTTCATTCATAGTCATTACATTCTCGTTCTATTCTTCTCATGGTATCGAGCAGGTTCCCTTGTGGGAACTGTGATTAGGGCCCACCACTACTTCGACTTTTTTTTTCTCTCTTTCACGCCCGCACGCCGCCCGTTCCGGCCCTTAGCCGCCCGTGCGCCGCCCTTTGCAGCCCGCGCGCCGCCCTTAGCAGCCCGCGCGCCGCCCTTCGCAGCCCGCACGCCGCCCTAGAGCCAGCGCGCCGCCCTACGCAGCCCGCGCGCCGCCCTACGCAGCCCGCGCGCCGCCCTAGAACCCACGCGCCGCCCTACACAGCCCGCGCGCCGCTCGCCAGGCCCCTGGCCGCCCGCGCGTTATCTGCGCGCCGCCCTTAGCCGCCCGCGTGCTGCCTGCCAGGCCCAAGGCCGTCCACGTGCCGCCCGTGCGCCGCCCTCAGCCGCCCGACATGCCGCCCGTGAGCCGCCCGTGCGCCGCCCTCAGCCGCCGGTGAGCCGCTCGTGCGCCGCCCGTCAGCCGCCTTCAGCTGCCCGTGAGCCGCCCGTGACCGCTCGTGCACCGCCCGTGAGCCGCCCGTGAGCCGCCCGTGCGCCACCCGTGAGCCGCCCGTGAGCCGCCCGACAGCAGCCTGTGAGCCGCCCGTGAGCCGCCCTTCAGCCGCCCGTGAGCCGCCCGCGAGCCGCCCGTGAGCCGCCCGTCACGACGCCCGAGCCGCCCGTGCCACCCGCGTCACCCGAGCCGCCTGCGCAGCTGAGGAACCAAGCCGCCCGAGCCGCCCAAGCTGCAGAGCCGCCCGGGTCGCCTGTGCCGCTGAGCGCCCGAGCCGCCCGAGCCGCTCGAGCCGCCAGAGCCGCCCGAGCCGCCTGAGCCGCCCGAGCCGCCCGAGCCGCCCGAGCCGCCAGAGGAGCCGAGCCGCTGGTGCCGAGGTACTGCTGTTGCTGCTGGGCCGGCCGAGCAGCCGTGTTTGCTGTGCTACTGTGCTCCCCGACCCGTCCTGTCTGGTGAGATCGCCGGTTGCAGTCATGGCTACCCCTAGTGTCCTAGCTTTTGACGCTGAGGGTTGTGCCATTGACTTTGAGGTCTGGCTCGACGACCTGCAGCTGTTCTTACAGTGCGATAGGGCAGACAGTCTTTCTCTCTATGACCTCACCTCTGGCGCCGTCCCTGCCCCTGCTGCTGATGCTGACGCCACTGTTCGCTCACAGTGGGCTACGCGCGATGCTGCTGCACGTCTTGCTGTGCGTCGCCACCTGCCTACCGCTGAGCGCGCGCACTTTAGCCAGTACAAGAGTGCCCAGACCTTGTACGACGCTGTAGTTGCGCGCTACTCCTCCCCTGCCACAGCTGCACTGAGCCGCCTCATGCTCCCCTTCCTCTTCCCTGACCTTGCCGCCTTTCCCACTGTCACTGACCTCATTACGCACCTCCGCACTAGTGACACTCGCTACCGCACTGCGCTTCCTGCTGACTTCTGCGCCAAGAACCCCCCCCCCCCATGTACATCACTCTCTACTGCATAGTCACTCGCCTCCCTGACTCCCTTCGTGTAGTCCGGGACCACTTCCTCGCGGTCTGTCCCACCACCCTCATAGTCGACAGCCTCGAGAAGGCCCTCCTAGCGGCGGAGAAGAGCATAGTCGCTATAGGAGCCTCTCGAGGTGACCCCCGCGCCCCCATCTTTGAGGGGTGTTCTCCTTCCCCTCTCCTGCCCTCTGCCGCCTCTGCCGCTGCGGCCGACCTCGTTGGTCTTGAGTCGGTCGGTGCGGCGTCTGCCCCTAGCGAGAGACGCCGCTCTAGCAAGGGCAAGGGGGGCAAGGGAGCGGGTGGGGCCAGCGGGGGCGGTGGAGGTGGCGGTGGAGGCGGCGGAGGGAGTGGGGGTGGCGGTGGAGGTGGTGGCGGGGGTGGGGGTGCTAGTGGCGGCAGTGGGGGCGGGGGTGGCGGCAGCGGTGGCGGTGGGAGCGGAGGTGGCGGAGGCGGCGGCGGTGGAGGCGGAGGCGGGGGTGGCGGTGGCGGTGGCGGTCGTGGAGGTGGTCGGAGTGGCGCTTCGCAGCGGAGCAGCACTGGGGGTGGTCAGCACCAGCAGCAGCGTTCTCGCGACCTACCGACGCCTCAGCAGCTCCGTGAGTGGTACACCCAGCGTCAGCGTGGTGGGGGTTTTGGTCCCTGCACCTACGTCCTTCGCACCGGCGACCGTGCTGGCGAGCAGTGTGGGGGTACCCACACCACCCAGCGCTGCTTTGGCCGCCTGACGGACGCTTGGCGTCAGCAGTTCCCGGAGGCCGCGGAGATCCCCCGTTGGGGAGAGCTGTCTAGGGCTGGTGTAGCTATCTTTGATCTTGACTTTGATGCTATCCTTGCTGCCATGTATGCTGTGACCATTAGTGATGAGGGTGACTGTTACCGGTGTTTCCCGCCCGACCCGAGCATTGGTACTGCTGCTCTAGGTGTCAGTGAGGCTTCTGCTCTAGGTGCCAGCGCGGCTGTGCTCTCAGGTAATGGTGAGGCTGCTCTCTCAGGTACCAGTGAGTCTGCGCCCTCAGGTACTGCGTCGGCCTCGGCCTCCCACACCTTCACTCTTGACTCTGGAGCGTCTCGCTCCTTCTTTCGGGACCGCACCACACTCACGCCGCTTAGTCGGCCGGTTGCGGTGTCCCTGGCTGACCCCTCTGGGGGTCCTGTCCTGTCTCGCTTCTCCACCGTCCTCCCGTGTCCGGCGGCTCCCTCTGGCACCCTGTCTGGTCTCTACCTCCCCTCGTTCTCTATGAACTTGGTGAGTGGTGCTGACCTTCAGGATGCGGGAGTCCACCAGTTCACCCCTGCTCGTCAGCTGGTGACGCACTGCACAGAGGCTAGCACAGGCCGTCATCTGGCTACGTTTACACGTCAGCCAGGGTCGAGCCTGTACACACCGACCACTGCTTCTCCTCCAGTTCTTGAGTCTGGTAGGGTCCCTTCGTCAAGTCAGGTGTTTGCTGCAGCGTCCAGGTCTGGTCCTGAGTCTGCCCCCTGTTCGTGTCGTCGCCTGTCTCACGAGACTCTCCTCTGGCACCACCGCCTGGGTCACCCCTCTCTGCTTCGGCTCAGAGGCATGGCCTCCCGTCTTCTTGTGTCTGGTCTCCCCCGGTCCCTCCCTCCCCTTCCTCAGGGCCCTGGCCCTGCCTTTGTCCCCTGTGTCGAGGGGCGCCAGCGTGCTGCCCCTCACTCCTCCCAGTTTCCTCCGACAGAGGCTCCGTTGCAGACACTTCACATGGACGTGTGGGGCCCTGCCCGCGTCCGTGGACTCGGTCACGAGCGCTACTTCCTGTTGGTGGTTGACGACTACTCGCGTTACACCACAGTCTTCCCCTTGCGCAGCAAGGGTGATGTCACTGAGGTGCTGATCGACTGGATCCGCGCAGCTCGTCTCCAGCTCAGGCAGAGCTTTGGCTCGGACTTTCCTGTGCTGCGTCTGCACTCGGACAGAGGCGGAGAGTTCTCCTCTGGCCTTCTGCGTGCCTACTGTCGTGCGCGAGGCATCCGTCAGACCTTCACGCTTCCGGACTCACCGCGGCAAAATGGGATTGCAGAGCGCCGCATTGGCATGGTCATGGACGTCGCTCGTACGTCTATGATGCATGCGGCTGCCCCCCATTTTCTGTGGCCGTTTGCAGTCAGGTACGCGGCGCATCAGATCAACCTCCACCCCAGGGTCTCCAGGCCGGAGACCTCCCTAGCTCTGCTGTGGACGGGGAAGGTTGGCGATGCGTCGGCGTTCCGGGTCTGGGGATCTCGGGCGTTTGTCCGCGACTTGTCTGTGGACAAGCTGTCCCCTCGCGCTGCTCCCTGCGTCTTCCTGGGGTTCCCCCCCGACGCCCCTGGGTGGCAGTTCTACCACCCCACCTCTCGCCGTGTTCTGTCCTCCCAGGACGTCACGTTCGACGAGTCGGTACCCTACTACCGCCTCTTCCCCTACCGCACTCCGTCCCTCCCCCCACCCCTGCTCTTCTTGGTACCAGGTCCCCCCCCCGTAGAACCCCTCCCCCCTCAGGGTCCTGCCCCTTCAGGTGTGTCCCAGGTAGACGCGGTCGAGCCTATCGAGGTCACTGGTGACTCTGGTGCTGCTGTGGGTACTGAGCCCAGGGGTGCTGTGACTAGGGGTGCTGTGCCTGGGGGTGCTGATCTGATGCGCCGCGTACCTGACCGCAAACGGCCACAGAAAATGGGGGGCAGCCGCATGCATCATAGACGTACGAGCGACGTCCATGATCATGCCAATGCGGCGCTCTGCAATCCCATTTTGCAGCGGTGAGTCCGGAAGCGTGAAGGTCTGACGGATTCCTCGCGCACGACAGTAGGCACGCAGAAGGCCAGAGGAGAACTCTCCGCCTCTGTCCGAGTGCAGACGCAGAACAGGAAAGTCCGAGCCAAAGCTCTGCCTGAGCTGGAGACGAGCTGCGCGGATCCAGTCGATCAGCACCTCAGTGACATCACCCTTGCTGCGCAAGGGGAAGACTGTGGTGTCACGCGAGTAGTCGTCAACCACCAACAGGACGTAGCGCTCGTGACCTAGTCCACGGACGCGGGCAGGGCCCCACACGTCCATGTGAAGCGTCTGCAACGGAGCCTCTGTCGGAGGGAACTGGGAGGAGTGAGGGGCAGCACGCTGGCGCCCCTCGACACAGGGGACACAGGTAGGGCCAGGGCCCTGAGGAAGGGGAGGTAGGGAACGGGGGAGACCAGACACAAGAAGACGGGAGGCCATGCCTCTGAGCCGAAGCAGAGAGGGGTGACCAAGGCGGTGGTGCCAGAGGAGAGTCTCGTGAGACAGGAGACGACACGAACAGAGGGCAAACTCAGGACCAGACCTGGACGCTGCAGCAAACACCTGACCAGACGCAGGGACCCTACCAGACTCAGCAACT